AGAATATCAGACTTCTCCTCAAGTTTTTTAAAGTTTCCCAAAAGCAAAAAATAACTCTGCTGACACAGTAAAGCCATCAAAAAGATGTGCTGTAACAAATATATGTGCAACTTTCAGCATTCTCCCAACTGCCCCATAATTTGCAATGGAGGTAATACTTCGGAGCAGTCAGTTTTCCCTTTGTTCATTCTTTCCCATCCCTTTCTCAAGCGGAGCCCCCTCAAGGCAACTATAAATAAGAAGGTGTGCGTTACTGAATCATGTTAGTATTACAAGTTTCGGGTTTACTTGGGTTTTTTGTTGTTATTTTATTTTCAAAGTGAAAATAACTTCATCTTTTCCTCGGATATAAAAATAATGCATGTCTATTAGAAAGAATTGGAACAACACATAAAGATACAATCGTAAAAATAGAAGTCCCCTGACATCTCACCATCCCAACCAGTAACAACAAAGTGAACATCCTTTGGTCACACATAGTCACCTGCAAGGACACTCCCACAGCCTGTGTATGAGATCAAATTATACTTCTGGTTTTTTAAAGGTTTTTGGGTGGGTTTTTTTTTTTTTTTTTTTTTTTTGGTTTTTTGGGGTTTTTTTCCGGTACTGGGAATCGAACTCACGACCTTGAGCTTGCCAGGCAGGCGCTGTGCCACTGAGCTAAACCCCCAGCCCCTATACTTCTGGTTTTTATTATGGGCAATTATTTCCTTTTCCTTTCCTCCCCCAATATTAACAACCTAAAAGTGTGTCTCTGCATTGCTTTATCATCATCTTTACATATATGGGTTCATATATGCCAACATGTATAGCGAGCGCTTTTGTTCTTTTTTGTAATAATAGAATACATTATACTCATTTTTTTTGTACTGGGAATTGAACTCAGGACTTTGCACTTGCCAAGCAGGCACTGTGCCACAGAGCTGTATCCCCGGCCTCTCATTATACTCATTTTGCACCTTACTTGCCTCACTCACTGGTATCTCATAGAAATCTCTCTCAGACATCTGGTGAGGCCATAATTCATTCCATTTAATGGCCATATAATGTTCTATGGAGTAATATATTTTAATTTTTCAGCCATTCCCTGATTAATGGCCATTCACCATGTTTCCAGTTCTTGGCAGTTACAAACAATGCTGTAATAAACATTGGTGCACACATGTCCTTACAAATTAGCACTTTTGTTTTTATGGAATAGATTCATAAGAGTAGGATCCCAAGGTCAAGGGGAATATGTATTTTTAACTTTAATAGATATTGCCAGATTGCCTTCCACAAAAGCCTGGGATGCTTTACAACTCTACCAGCAACGGATGAGAGCACATTTTACGCCACATCCCTGCTGGCAACAGGTATTATGGTTCTTCCTAATTTCTTGCCCATTTAATAGATCAAGAAGCAACATTCCATTGGTTTTTGTTTTGTTTTGTTTTGTTTCCGGAACCAGGAATTGAACTCACGACCTTGCACTCACCAGGCAGGCTCTGTGCCGCTGAGCTAAATCCCCAGCCCCAACATTTCATTGTTAATTTGCATTTCTCCACATCTGGGCCACTGTGCAGTTTGTGCAGATGGTGATGGGGCTGAGATCCAGCCCACACGTGTCTTATAAGACTAACACCTTGACTGTTCAGTGCAGATGAAGGGCTCAACTTTTCTAGTTTATAAGCAAGGGTTCCCAGTGATGCTTTACAAACCACCAAGAAATCTGACCGTATTTGTAGTATGTAACTGTTGAATAGTAACATTCATTCTTCCGTGAATTTTCTCCTCACATCTATTGCCCGTTTTTACTGGAGTACAATAGAAAGAATTTCTATTTACACTAGAATTTTTCTTATAAAAGCTAAAAATTTGTAAGATTCATTTTGTAGACATTGATTCTGGGGCTAGGGCTGTGATTCAGCGCTAGAGCACTTGCTCAGTACACGTAAGGCCGGGAGTTCAAGTCCCAGAATGCAAGAAGAAAGGGAAATGAAAGGAAAGACAGAGAAAGAGTTTTTCTCTTGTCTTCTGACTTTCCAAATTACAATAGTGATTTTTAAGGAAATTTTGTTTTCAGGTTTCATCCTGTAGGGTGATTTGCTGTTAATTTTTGGTAAATAATTTTTGACATATTTCTTTCTACGACTATTTTAAGAGTTTTTTTAATAATGAAATGAATTTCATTAAATGTCCTTTTAGTCTCTATTCATATGATCCTATGGTTTTTCACCATTACTTAAATCCCAAATTTTGCCAGGCATGGTGGTGCACACCTGTAATCCCAGCACTCGGGAGGCTGAAGCAGGAGGATCAGTGTGAGTTTGAGACCAGCCTGGGCTACAAAGTGTGCTCAAGGCCAGCCTGGGCTACATAGTGAGACCCTGTCTCAAAAAGACAAAAAAAAAAAAAAAATTCCAAATTTTATTAAATATTTTGATTTTGAATCACTGCCACAAAACCTTCTGGCTGTGGTAGAAATGGGTTTGTTTTGCTGCATTGCTAAGCTCTTTTCACTAGGTTCTATTTTTCTGTAAATATATATTTACTAGTGAAATTGATCCATAACCCCTGCCCCCTTTTGGTACTACTCTTATCAAATTTTGGTTGTAAAGTTATACTGACTTTGTAAAATAAATTGAAGGGTTGTAATTTTTTCTGCAATATTGTAAATAACCAGAATCATCCTTTTTTTAATGGTTAGAAAAAAACATAGTTCTGAATCTACCTCACCTTTTCTTCCTTTTCCCCTTCCTTCCTTCCTTCCTTCCTTCCTTCCTTCCTTCCTTCCTTTCTTTCCTTTCTTTCTTCTCTTCCTTTCTTTCTTTTCTTTCTTCCTTTTTGTGTGGTACAGAAGACTGAATCCAGGGTCTTGTATATGCTAGGCAATCCACCACTGAGCTACAACTCCAGCCCCTGAGCCTCTCTTTTAATGATAGATTTTAAAGCACATACCTAATTTTTTTCCTGGTAAGTAATCTGCTCCCATTTTTCATTTCTTCTTGGGTCAGATTTGATAGTTGATGTTTTTATAGGAATGATCCATTTTCTCTAGAACTCCAAATTTTCTGTGATGGAATTATACAATGCAGGCTCTCAAAATGCACTAGAAGCATATTTCTTAATTTAACTCATAAGTTGTACTATTTTGCTCATGTATTTACTTCCTCCTAATCCATAGTTGTATTATATATTACTTACCTCCATTGACTTTGGACTTAGCCGTGTGGATTTCTCAGGCCAATGGCTGTGAACAGATGTGTGCCACACTGGCACCAAGTTTTAACTTTCATTGTGTGGTCTGCTGAGGCCTTTCGCACCCCAGGGCCTTCTGCCATGAGAAAGGCATGTTTCACGTGCTCCTTCGGTTTGGCACCAAACAAAAAGAAAGCAGACAAGCAAACCCACAGCTGGTAGCAGAGCTGCAAGAGTAATACTAACAGGGAGGAGGAATAAACGTGTTGTAAGGCAAGGGGAGTCTGAGGCGGGTTGTCTGCAGGTCAACATAGCTAAACCAACAGGGCCTATTTTCTAGTTATCACTTCATTATTGATTTCTGGCATAATTGTATTGTGACCATAAAACACATGCTCTGTGATTCCAACCATCTGAAATTTGTTGAAAATTGCTTTCTGTAATTCAGCATATATTCAAATTTTGAAAATATTACTTAGTCTTGAAAAAATATTTATTCCACAAAAACTGGATACAACATTTACATATTGACATGCCCATTAAATTAATCAGTTATTACTCAAGGATTTACTTGATTTTTTTTGTCTCTTTTTGGAGACAGGGTCTCGCTGTGCAGTTCAGGCCGGCCTTGAGCTCACTTTGTAGCCCACGCTGGCCTCAAACTCTCAACGAGCCTCCTGCCTCAGCCTCCCGAGTGCTGGGATTACAGGCATGCACCACCATATCCAGCAATCGGTTATTACTCAAATGCTTCACATGTTTATTGGCTTTTGTTGTTCAAGCATTTTACTTGTCCAAGCATTTATTGAGAAACATATGCCATTATTATGGATTTGCCAGTTTCTCTTTGTAATACAGTCTCTTGCTGCTTTATATATTTTCAGCCATAAGTTTTAGGTGCATTCAAATGTAGATTTAATTTATTGTATCATCTTTGTGGACTGAACCTGTAATCATTATTACAAGTCTATTTTATTTCTAGATAATGCTCTTTGCCTTAAAGCCTATGTTGTCTAATACCAATATATTCACAAAATGTTTCTTATTAATTCTCCTTTGACCCTCAGACTTTTTATATTGTATTTTATTTGTTTGTTTTTCCTCTGGTACCAGAAATCGAACTCACGACCTTGTGCTTGTGAGGCAGGTGCTCTGCTGCTGAGCTAAATCCCCAGCCCCTATATTGTATTTTACATGTGTCTCTTTTAAACACCAGATAGCAAGGTTTAGTTAGGGCTTTTGCTTTCGGTTATTTTGGGGGGGCGTGTTGTTTGCTTGTTTGTTTGTGACAGGGTCTCACTATGTAGCTCAGGCTGGCCTCAAATTTAGGGTGACCCTCCTGCCTCAGCCTCCCAAGTGCTGGGATTATATGCATGCACCACCACTTTCAGTTTATGATTTGCTTTTTATCCAGTCTGATAATCTTTGTCTCTTAACTACAGTACTTACTTCACACATAGTTAATATAAATTCTTATATTTAAATTAAAATCTATTATATACTTTCTACTTGTTTCATATATCTTATGTTCCTTTCCTCTTCTTTTTTACCTTCTTAATCAACTGAGCATTTCTTATCTTTTTTACCCTCTTCAAAGTTATATATTCTTTTTATATTTTCAGTATGTACATTAAAATTATAATATGCATCTCTGAATTGTCAAAATGCAATGTCAGAAATGTATCTATCTTCCTCCCAGAAAATGCAAGAAAATTTAAGAACATTTAATTTCATTCATCCTCCTCTCAACTTAATGTTTTTATTATCATGTATTTTAAAACTCTATAGTTAATATTCTTCTATATTATACATTCATTTACCCTTTTTTTATTCTTCATTCCTTCATTCACCTCGTCCTCCATCTGAGATCATTTGCATTCTGCCTAGGAAAAACAAAGCTTTAGAATTTCCTTTAGTAGGTTTCCTGGTAGTGAATTCTGTTTTTGACAATAAAATATCTTTATCTTCATTTTTCTTATCTAGATAAGCTTATAATTTTGGAATAATTTTAAATATAAAGATATTTGCAAGAGTAGAAAACAATTCCTTATTTTCCTGAATCACCATATTTAAACATTTTTGTATACAACATGGTCTTGCCTTGTGGGGGAGTTGTTTGCTTTTGGTTTTGGGGTTTTGGGGTCTTAGGAATTTGCTGTTGTTTTGTTTTAGTACTGGGGCTTGAATCTACAGCCCAAGCCCTTTTTAATACTTTATTTAAAGACAGAATTACAGAATTACAGGCATATACCATCACAGTGTGAGGACGTTCTTTATAGCCAAAATAAAAATAATAAAAACATTTAATCTAGAGACCAATTCAAGTTATGTGAATTGTTCCAACGTCCTCTAGAACACAAAAAGATCCAATTCTAACAACATGTTGCATTGTTTTATATCACTTTAGCTTACTTCAATCTGGAATAGTCCGTCCAGCTTCGTATTTTACAACCTTGACACCCTAAGAAATTACAGAAGAGTTATTTTGTAGAAAGCCACTTGATGTGGGGGTGTGTGCTATTTCTCGCGATTTGATGCAGGTTATGTGTTTTTGGCAGGAATCCTGTGAAAGTGACACTGTGTTCTCACTGCATCCCACCCAAGGGCACACAGTTCTTATTACAGTGAGACACATCGCCGCCGAGAAGTGTTCAAGTAAGTGTGTTCAAAGCAAGAGGGAGTAGTTTGACAATTTTGAGGGAAATTAATGGCAATGTGTCTTCTACTATAATAATTTTTAAACTTAAACATTCATTGTATTTTTGATCAGCCATGTATTTACATATTGGATCATGTTATGCACTAAATCATGTCCCCCAGAAAATACAGGGAAGCCCAAACCAAACTTAGGATATGAGCAAATTTGAACACAGAACCTTTAAAGACGTGATAAGTTAAAAGGAGATCATTAAAGTGGGCTCCAGCCCACTTTAATTTTTGTCATTATAAGGAAATTTGGACAGAAAGAAAGACACCAGGGAGGTTGTGTACAGTGGAAAGACCATTTGCAGGCCTAAGAGAGAGGCCTCAGAAGAAACCAAACCTTCCAACAATTTGGTCTTAGACTTCCAGCCTTGTGAACTGTGAGAAAATAAATTTCTATTGTTTAAAGCCACCCAATCTGTGCCAGTTTGTTATAGCAGTCCTAGCAAATGAAAACAAGTCCAGTGAACCAAAAACAACCTCATCTGAAAACAGCTCCTACAAATGTTTTGTGATAGTCTAGCCTGCCTTAAGCAAGTTGAGGCACACCTGTTTCTATAACAATCTCGTGTTCTATATAAATCCAGTATTCTCTGACAACCTGCTGGCAGTACACAATCTCGGCGTGTTTGCAGACCTATTTGGTCTTACAGTGAAAGGGCCAGTGGATTTTGTCACAACATACATTCTGTGCATGTTATATTGTGATGGACCCTATTCATTCTGACGATGTCCCCAGTGGCTCAACCAATCCACAATATCTATAATGTATATTTACTGAGCAGCAGAGAGTACCCTCTCTAACAAGGAAATCAGCTCAGAGCTTAGCTTTTTTCTTAATAGGACATTGCTTAAATTACTATCCTCTTAGCAAGTGCGCATTAAATTGCACTACCAGATTACCCTTAACTTATTCAAAATTTCAGAAACCTAAAAAATGACTCTTAAGGCATAGACTCAAAGATAAATCCTTTATCTCACGGAGCTTTATTCCTCTTGGAATTTATGTCCTGACTTCACAAGGCTGAGAATGATTGCTCTGGCTGCCTGCGCTGTGCAATCTGCTGGGGGCTGGGAGCCCCAGCTGTGCTTTCTCTGCCTCTGACGCCTCCCCTGGCAATAAACAGAACTCGATTAGGGCTTCCCTAATGACTCCTACAGCAGCGGGCAACACTGCAGCTCGTTAACAGTGGCACTAGTACTGTAGGCCCAGTGGGAACGAATGTTTATTTGGTTCCAGAAAATGAGCCAACCCCACCATTAGACACTGTCCGCAGAGGTGCAATGTGGAGAAATCCTTTATAGAAAAAGCAGCTTCTTTTTGCTGAAACATCCACCATTAGATGAGGTAGCTGACACTTGGGCAGCAGAAACACGCCATGGTTCAATCTAGCCTTTCTTAGCCTTGTCTGAAGGGACTGCCTCTTCAGAGAAGGAGAGAAATTACACCCATGTTTCAGAATGGGGAAACAGATGCCTGGAAACCCTCCCTTCTGCAAGTTCACCCTCGCAGTGTTTTCTCAAGGGGCACAGCTAAGCTGCTAGAATTCCCATTACACCTGGGAAGGAAGGGTATCATGCCACCTTTGGGTTCAATTTCAGGGAATTCTCTAGCGCTTGCCACAGGCCAGGCACTGTTCCGAGTGTACTGCATGATCCAAGTGCATTTAATCCTTACTTAGAGGTGGATACTTTATTATCTTCACCTTTGAGATGGGAAAAGTAAGGATCAAAGAGATCGAATAACACTCACAGGCCCCACAGCTAACCCGTGAAGAACTGTGTTATGGTTCATATCTGGATACTACCCCAAAGCCTAAGGCACTCAGAGATAGGCCGTGGAGGGTAACTGATCACGGGGGCTACAGCTGGCTTGGTGTTAGGAGGTGGGCCTGGTCGTGGTCACTGGGGGTGTGACCTGGACGAGTGTCTCTCCCTCCCTGGCTCTACCCATGCCTCCCTCTCTGCTTCCTGTCCACCACGAAGTGAGCAGCTTTTCCTCCACGGGCCCCTCTGGGATGCCATCCTGCCTCACAGCTAGCCCACTGTAGATTGGAACACAAGACAAAATACTGTAACCCTCTCCTTTAATTTGTTAACATCAGGTATTGAGTTACAGCAATGATAGGTGACTAATACAGAGCAGGAACTGGAATAGAGGCCAGCTGGACCTACTGCACTGACTCTACCAAGCTGTGTTTTGGGTAACAGTTAATAATAGACAACAGTTATAAAGTGTCTTCAATCCAGTACACAACAAACTTCCAAATAGCATGTGGTCTCGTTTATCTATAGTGTAGAGGCATTGTGAGCCCTCTTTTCAGAGGAGTAGATAGTCAAATAGGAAGAGATGAATTTTGTGACAGCAGGTAGCCCACTGGTATTGACTCACCTGACAGATGGCGTAAGGAAGAGGGGTACAACTTGAAACTGAAGAAGTTCCTTAGTTTAGCTTTCTTGCTTTACCTGATTTTATGTGAGCTCAGAAAACACAACGGAAAGATTCATCCTATCTTCCAGGTTCCATACCAGTATGCGTCCTCCTGGAGCTAGGAACATTTCTAATTGGACGTTTTTCCACAGGGTGCTCTACAACTAGCTACATCCCCAGCCCTTTTTCTTTTCTTCAAAAGAAGATCTCACTGTGTAGCCCAGGCTGGCCTTGAACTTGGGATCATCCTGCTTTCATCTCCTGAGTACTAGGACTATAAATGTGCACCACCATGCGTAGCCCCATCTGATTTTTTAAGCGCCTCCCCAGGCACATACAAACCAGTTTCTTGATGAATTCAGTTCGGCATCTGTACTTTCCCAGGGCTAAACTGACTAAAATTCTTCCCCTCTTCCTTCCTTACACCCGCCCCAGGCAATCCTCCTACCAGCATTAAACAGAAATTCAAATACAAAGGAAACCAGGGAAGCACCGAGATGGGGCATCATTACATCCCTCCATTTTCCCCCTGCTCTTATTCTGCAAGGGTTTCTACCCCCTCTTCTTGCTATCTATTGCCCAGACAAACAGCACCATTAAGCCAAATCCCCAGCCCCAATATTTACCCTTTTAAACTAATCAGAGTATGCTTCTAAGAATCACTGTTCTGTGTATATACTATATAATAATACATTTACCTAGAAACTTTAGTCACAAAAAATTGTTTAAACAACACAAAAAAGTAATTTCCTCAAAAAGCCCTTTTCCTGAAACAGAATCCAGATCAGATGGTTCAAGACACTTTCACAAAGCCAGGCGTGACAGCACACGCCTGTAATCCCAGCACTCGAGAGCTGAGACAGAAGACAGGAGGATCGTTGCAAGTTTGAGACCAGTCTGGGCTACAAAGTGAGCTCAAGGCCATCCTGAACCGCGTAGCGAGACCTTGTCTCAAAAAGACACTTTCACGAACTCCTCAATGGTACAGGAAGGACCAAGGAAAACAAAAACACTGGGGTGAGCAGAGGCAAGCAGGAGTGGGAAGCTTGAAGGAGCAAAGGGAAGACATGGACTTTCTAAAGGCAAGAGGAGGGGCCACAGTCAGAAAACACATCGCAAAGCAGGGAGATCGAGCAAAGCCCTCAATTCTCTCTCTCCATCCACCAACCCATTGTTGCTTGTGACTTCCATGATTGAAATCAACCAGAAAGTTGGCAGCAGAGCAGTCAAGGTAATGTATCTTATAGAAGCATACAGCAGACCCAAGAAGGATGAAGAGAAGGTAGAGTGGGGGGAGAATAGTGAACATACCACCTAACCTAGCAGAATATCCCTGTAGATCTTGTAACATCATTCTGTTTCAGCCGGGCGTGGTGGCGCACGCCTGTAATCCCAGCACTAGGGAGGCTGAGGCAGGAGGATCATTGCAAGTTCAAGACCAGCCTGGGCTACAAAGTGAGCTCAAACCCAGCCTGAACTGCATAGGGAGACCCTGTCTCAAAAAGACCAAAAAAATTAAAAAAATTAAAAAAAAAAATCATTCTGTTTTATCATTGCACTTATTGTTACCTGATGTTCAATTTCTTAGTCCCTCCTCCTCCACTATTAAACTAAATACTCCTTAAATGCAAGGAATTTGTCTTGTACTCAAAACCATATCCTCATGATGTTGGAGCCTGACAGAAGTAAAAGCGATATTCTGATGGGTAGAGGGTGCAGAATACAGCCCAGCACAGGCTTTCAGAGCTTGAGTTGTGAGAGAAGCGGTTGGAGTAAGGACAAAGACAAAAGGCAGCTACATACCGGGGATTGATCAAACAAGGGTATAATGGGAATGTCACTGTTAGAGAAAGTGAAATACGAAAGGAGAGAAAACTAGAATAAGCCCTGTGGTGATGGATTGTTACTGGAGATATTGGAGTGAACTCTTGGATTTTGATGGATGGATGGTTGAATGGATGGATGGGTGAGTGGATACGCAAATACACAGAGATGTAAAAGTGGGGGTGTGAATGTGTACACAGTCATCCCTCACTATATCATGGTTCACTTACTGCAGCTTCACTGTATCATGGGTTTTTAAAAACTATATACCTAATTCTGTATCGCGGAGTTTTCACTATGTTGTGGGATTTTGTGGTATGTAGATATTTATATAGAATTTTACATGTTGTTAAAATTACATAGGTTTAAGAGTGTACAAAAGCGGGGCTGGGGATTTAGCTCAGCGGCACAGCACCTGCCTGGCAAGTGCAAGGTCGTGAGTTCGATTTCTGGTACCAGAAAAAAAAAGTGTAGAAAAGCATATGAAGTGTTCAAATGAGCATGGGAAAGGTTAGTAAAAGAGTGGGAAAGGTTTATAGGAGTGTGGAAAGGGTTTATAAAACCTTAAAATATATACAAATAATTAAATATAATGCCCCTACCTCGCGGATTTTCACCTACCTCAGGGGTCTCTGGAATGTAACTCCTGCAAAGGTGAGGGATCATTTGTATTCCCACGTGTAGCCCCTATAAAGCCCTGAAAGGAACAAGGAACACCCTAGTTAATAATAAGCACATTTAGCATACAGATATCTTGATGCATTAGGTACCAATCTCCTTTCAGCAGGAGTAGTATTCCTTAGGGAGATATTCATCCCAGGGTTGGGACAGGAAAAGTACAAAATGAGCCTATAATATACTTTGCCAGAGAAAGTCTGATGAAGACTTGTCCAAAGGACACAGAGGCCAGTTTAAAGGGCTTCTACAGGCCAAAATGGGACTATGTGAGCATCAAAAGAAATACTGACATTAACACATTTAGTCCAATGAATAACATCGAAAGCGAAGTCTAGAAATAATAAGTTGAGTGTTTTTTTTTTTTTTTTTGGTTTTTCTCCAGTACCAGGAACCGAACTCACGACCTTACGCTTGCCAGGCAGGCGCTTTGCCGCTGAGCTAAATCCCCAGCCCATAAGTTGAGTGTTTAATGAAGAATAAGATACTTATATAACCTTATAAATACTCTGGCGGGGGCAAGTATGGTGGTATTTCCAGCTACTTGGGAGGCTGGGACAGAAGGACTACAAATTCAAAGTTAACGTAAGAAACTTAGACTCTGTCTCAAAATAAAATAAAAAGGGAAGATAATATAGGTTAGTAGGGGTTCAATTCCAAGTACTGAAAAAACAAAAAATTTTAAACCATAATATAGTTAGGTAAAATAAAAGACAGACAATAGGAAAAAAAGAAAGAAAAAAAGTATAGTAATCCAGTGCAGAGAATGTATCTAAAAGTGTACTTTGACTTAGTACAACTGTCTTACATTTTATATGTTCTTTGAACCATTAGTCTTATTTTCAATCTAGCTTTTTAACTTTATAAGTTGTTTTTCTCTTTTTTTTTTTTTTTTTTTTTTTTTTTTTGGTTTTTTTCTCTGGCACCAGGAACCAAACTCACGACCTTGTGCTTGCCAGGCAGGCGCTTTGCCGCTGAGCTAAATCCCCAGCCCCTATAAGGTCTTATAAGATAAATAAATGAATCTAATGCTGGAAAAATAGAGGGGCGGCAGGAGGAAGGGAAGAATTAAAATGTGTTATGTACATGTACCAATCTCCTATAGTGAACATAATCATGTACTGCAAACATGTACTAATAAAAGTAAAAAAAAAAAAATTATACATAGTTAGGCAAGCTGTTACTACTGGGGAAGCTGATGAAGGATGTAGGAGCTCAGGAGTTTTTGCCAATTTTCCGTGAGTCTAGAATTAGTTCAAAAATTTTAATTTCCTAAATTAAAAGAGAGTAACTTTATATAGGAGAAGCCTAGCCAAACATAACCTTAACAAAGAAGTCAAAGTTAACGTGATTCATAGTGGAAAATATCAAAATCATGCACTACCCAGGAGATCGTATGTCAAGCTTATGATTTTCCTACTCAAGATGTTGCACGAGGGGCTGGGGATATAGCTCAGCGCCTGCCTGGCAAGCGTGAAATTGTGAGTTCAATTTCTGGTACCAGAAAAAAAGATGTTGCACTAGACAAACCAAATTAAGTGTCCAGGGGCTGGGGATTTAGCTCAGCGGCACAGCACCTCCCCGGCAAGTGCAAGGTCGTGAGTTCGATCCCCGGTACCGGAAAAAAAAAAAAAAAAAAAAAAAAATTAAGTGTCCAGGTAAAGGGGTATTCTACCAATTAATTGTTCTATAGTGCAGCAAGGTCATGGGAAATAAAAATTTTTAAAAACTAAGATACAGATGTGGTGGCACACACATGCAATCCCAGAACTCTGCGTAGCTAAGCCAGGAAGATCATAAGTTCACACCAAGCCTGGACAATTTAGTGACTTAGTGGGTACTGTTGCAAAATTTTTTAAAATAAAAGACTGAGGATGTGTTCTGGACTAAAGGAGATTTAAGAAACATGATAAATCTGGTGCAGTGGCACATATCTAGAATCCCGGCGTTCAGGAGGCTAAGGCAGAAGGATTGTGAGTTTGAGGCCAGCCTGGACTACATTAAGAGTTCCAGGCCAGCCTAGCCTGTGTAATAAGGCCCTGCCAGGGGCTGGGGATTTAGCTCAGCGGCAAAGCGCCTGCCTGGCAAGCGCAAGTTCATGAGTTCGGTTCCTGGTACCGGAGAAAAACCAAAAAACCAAAAAA